TTTTTTTTTCCTTTTCTCAATAAAAAAAAAGAAAAACTAAGATAGTTTCTAAGTTCACAAAGATCATTTTTTTTTTCAAACTAGAAACAAAGACTTTACTTGAAGTCCACATACCACATTAATTGCTTTACTGCAATTCCATACCCTAATTCCTGCTCCCTGTCTTCCTGGCATTAAGACATTCCAAGCAATTGCTGGCTGCAAAGCCCATCCACGGTCATTGAGGAGAACAAGTAAAGCAGGGAAAGCATCACTTTTCTGGCTTGGGCAACTGGGTGACCTAAGGTCTCCTCCACCTGCCACAAGTAGGGGATCAAGGGTAGCAGGTAGATTCATTTACAGTGACCCCAAAACCAGCAAGGGAAAATGTTGACTATGGTCTGTCACAAGAGAAACAAGAATGATTAGAGAGAGAGTTCATGTGCACTGGCCCCATGCTTGCTGAATGTCACATCTGCATTCTAAAAGTGTGCTACAAATGAGGCCATGCACAGAATTGGTGACACTTACAATACTGAACACAGGAAGTATTTACCATTTGGTGGTAGCTTGAATCTTTTCATACACAGTGTTTACAGTATACTGCTGAATATATTTTCTTTAAATCCTACAAGTATTTATAAAAACGACAATATCTCACATAGGATGGCATGTGTATGTGCTAATAGTATTTTGTTTCACATTAATATTTAAACTCTTAGAGCATTTATTCAGCAATTCCCTTTTCTCCTCCTTCTTCCATTTCCCCCACTCCACTTTCAACTCCTTCTTCATCATCTCCTTGACACACAAATGAAACATTGGACCTGTTTCATTTCAGCCTGCATTTATATATGCTTTGGTGACTTTATAAGTACTAACAATCAGAGAGAGAGAACACACCACAGTGGTGGCAGTGGTGCTAAGGCCGTCTGTGGGCCTTGACCTACTGCTTGCAATCATTCCAGACATCCCGCGATCACCACCCTTCCAAGACTCTTTCACACATTTCCTGATCAACATCTGTGATTTTTCCCCCTTGAGATGATATCACTAATTCTGTTTTTTTTTTCAAATTACAGCCATTCACTTCCTAAATTCAAGCAGCCTAAATATCACTTTCCCTTTGTATATTGTTCTAATATCACTGGGTATAATATAGGATTTATAATGAAACTTCCACAGATTTCTCTACTTCATAAAATATATCCATGATCTTGAAAATACATTAGTACTAGTCCAAGATCTTCCACAAGGAATCTAAACAGCTATTTAGAAAAAAAAAATGGATTTTCCCCCACAAATTCACCATGTGGCTAGTGTTGTGAGACTTTCCCCAACTCAACATGGCAGAGCCATTCCTATCTTGAAATCAGAACAGCTGTTATTACCTTCATGAAATCCCTACAAGACTGACTTTTAGACATTCCCTCATAAAGGGTAAGAGGGTCATTAGACCCTCATCTCAACATCCAGAAACTAACCCGCCTAACCCAACTTTATATAATCCTGTCCCAATTGCTGTGATCTCTGGAAGTACTAGAGAATAAAATGGTGAACATTCAGCTGAGGGAGGCACTCCATGTCTGAAACCTTCTGAGGTCGTAATACATGCTGAGGTGAGTTTTTCAATTATTCAGCTACCAGGGCTTATCTAGCTCCTGTAGGTACCTCCTTACGCATGATTTTGTAATTTCAAGTGTCTCACTGGTTCATCAAACAAGGCTTAGATGAAATAATTTTGTCAGTATATCCTTAGCACCCTATCTGGAGCCAACAGATATTTGTTCATGTCTCTCCAGGAAAACTCCCACAACAACCAGGCAATCTGGGCTTCACTGCATGCACTGGAATGGGGAGTGAAGAGGGTAGAAAGGAAACAGGCTATAAATTAACCATCTGAAGATATTGATTCTCTTCTTCTCGTCAAACCTGCCATTCAATGTCAGAGAGCTCTCATTACTACAGTTCCAGCTTCTGCTTATTGCTCAGGAAAATTAGCAGACACGTTTTAGAGTATGAAAAGTCGTGACACACAACAAGGAAGGATGGCTAATAATGTGTTTCATCTGAGGGGAACAGAATACTCAGAAAGCCAGGACAAAAAAAAAAAAAGCTTCTAGTGCTTGACTTTTCCAAGGAAACTGCAAAACAGCAGTCTATTAAAACCTCAAGAGCCATGTGTAAAGACACACTCTATATCTACATCTTGTGCTATGAGACCTGAGTCCACAGGTCTGTGACTTACCTCCACTAGCTTGTTGGCATGTTCACGGAAAACTTGGGCATATTCCTTCACTTCCTTTTCATTCCCACTCTTTGCAGCCTCAATGAGAACCAGCAAAGGGACGTTGGTTTCCAAGAAAGAATCTGATATGTGATCCATCACGGCTTTCCGAAGCTACAGTTAGAAACAAAAGCAAAAGGACATTAAGGAATAAAATTGTCAATCTTTGCCTAAACCACTGTCAAGCTTTCATTACGATATAAACAATAGGGATAGTTAGTTTTGATTGACAACTTGACACAACTTAGAATCTGCTGGGAAAATTTTCTCAATGAACGATTGCCTAGATCAGCTTGGCTTGGAGGGGATTACATGATTTTGTTCACTAACATTGGGGAACCAAGCCACCAAAGGCAGCACTATTTCCCTGGCATGAAATTCTGGGCTATATAAATGTGGAGGAAGGGATAGATGCCAAACACTAAGAACCCTGTACATATTCATACTCTCTCTGCTATTGATGGTAGATGAGACTGTTCCTCTTGCCTTGACTTCCCCACAGTAATTGACTCTAGTTTGGAATTATAAGTCAAATAAATCTTTCCTTCCCCCAGCTGTTTTTTTTTTTTAATCTAGATAATGATCACAGGAACAGAATTGAAACTAGGTCAATAATAGTTTAAATCTCTTGAATTTTCTCTTATCAAAAACTTTCTTTTTTATCAAAGAAAAAAAGGTAGATTGATTAAGTCTGCCTAGGAACTATATGTAATATAAATCTTGAAAATTACATAAATAGACTATAGCTCCAAACACTGACCAAAGATCAGTTCTCATCTTTCACTGGATTATTTGTTTGGCTCTACAAACTCTTAAGTCCTGGCAAATTTCAAGAGCTCAGGTCTTCAGCAGTGGAGATGCCTGTGTACCAACCAGTCATTAGGGAGAAATGCAAGTAGAGTGCTGAGCCTTGATGTCACCCGTGAAACTTTCTCACTGTGTAACCTCCTGCCCTCTTCACATATAGTGTTTGTGGTTTACAGAGGGAAAACAGGGAACATCTGACAGCCATAAAAATATTCCAGCCCAGGTGCTATGGTGATGCAGTTGTTATGTTCCAGGAAGTAAAAAAAAAAAAAAAACCACTTAGAATATTTCAAGGTAAGAATAAACAAACCTGAATCTTCTAACAATGCATAATTACACACCATTCCCACACTATTAAAATAAGTGGGGCAGCTGCATGAAAACAAAATAAAACTATCCCTGCACAATCACCTTGCTTGTACTTTGTTCATAATCATCTGAATATATAAAGCCTACAAATAAAAATAAACACAAGGGAAGGTGGCAAATAATCTGTACATTTCTCAAATCAATTCATTAACACCTGTCCTGGAGGCAGTCGGGGAATCTTCGACAATGTGACACACTCAGCTGTGACTGGTCAGAACTAGTGGTTGGGCACTAATGACAGTAAAGGCTGCATGTATATACATATGTAAGTTTGTTTAGCTTTCTTCTGAATTGCTTTGAAATTTCTCCTTGTAACTGGGCATGAAACAGAAACAGAAAAAGAAGACCTGGACGAGGGCTTACAGGAAAGATTTCAAATTAACCTGCCGTGGTTGCTTCAAGGGCATTGATTTGTGTAGAGAAGAAATGAGTAGAAATATAATAAAAAATGACGTGACAGGGACAAGAGAGACAAATATAAGTCTAAATAAGGAATAAGTCAGAGGAAAATGAGAAAGGTTATCTCTCCAATGAAGCCACCACATCTTTGATACCCACAAAAGGTAGCTGAAGAAGGAACTCTGTGAAGCTAGAAAAGCCAACTGTATTAACTATTCCTGAATTCACAGGAAGAATTTTCTTCCAGAACTGAGCAAAGTTAAACATTACAGAAGCCGTAAGGAGTTGTTTTTTCCTGTACACATTTGAACTATACCAGAACGATATGCTTATACAACAGATAAAAATGGTAACCATAAAAACAAGTAACATACCATTACAAATTAGATAAAGGACTTTATAGAAAAAATGCAAGATAAGAAATAATAATACAAACTATTGTAAGAACAACTATGAACTTGGCATCTTGACTCATACTTGTGATGCCAGTACTTGTGAAGTTGAGGTAGGACAATTACCACTAACTTGAGTCTATCCTAAGCTCAATCTGAGGCCTAGGCCAGTCTGTGCTACAGAGTAAGAAGATCTCTAAAAAGCAAAATTGGAAAAATGGCTCAGTGATTTTAGAGAACTTGCTGTTCTTGCAGAGGACGAGAAGTCAGTGCTGAGTATCCTTGTTGGGTAAGCCACAACCCCCTTAACTGCAGCTCCTGGACATCCCTATATACTTGAAAGGTTATGCAAAAAGAACTAAAGGTGACCAGGTGGAGAACACATCAAACTAACCTGTCAGCTTCTGGCAGAGCAGTGCTTCACATAGGAAAGGGGAAGGTGGGGATTTAATAACATGAACTTGACAGGGACAAGACAACAGAGGAAAAAAAATCAATAGAAGAGACTGATGTTCATGGGTACCCACACACAAACAAAATAAATCTTTAAAAAGAAAGCAACTAAGAATTCTATTTTAAAATTTAAAAAAAAGTTTCAAATAGTCAATTTCAAAATGACTGAAACAAAATGAATAAATACCATAGCAAGTGCCTTAAAAGGGACAGAAAAGAGAAAAAAAATCAAAGTAAAATATTAGCAAGAGCTTAAAAGGGATGTGAAAAAAGATGACAAGTCAAAATAGGAAAAGAAATTTAATACGTGGCTTCCAGGCATCCCTGAAGTAAGAAATCCAAAGCCATTGAAACTACTTATACCACGACTGATGAAAACAGGGAAATTCCAGCAGACACAGAAGAGATTTTCATGTACTGAACTCCACCTTCTCCTATGCCCCACCACCCAAAAAAAAAAAAAAAATCAACAACAACAAAATCTAACCTTGTATGGCAGTGTGTACCTATAATCTCAGTCACTGAAGACAGGCATGAGTTTAAGGCCTGAGGGGAAAAGGAAAATGGGAAAATAAAAGCAAGTAAGGTAGGAGAGCGCATGAAAACTCAGGAACTCAAGCATGAGCAGAAAATAAGAAAAGGTGGGAAAATGTGGAAATTCCAACAAAATCCCTGTAAGGTGAGAGGACAAGTCTAGAATCTATGAACCAAGGCAGGAATAGTTATCACGTCCCTCTTCCTTCCTGTGCTATATCAGACACTATTAGTCAGTCTCAGCACACTTTTATGCTGAGCTCAATTCTGCTTCCTAATCTTTCTTAGCACAGTGCTCTAGGCAGCTAATACTCATCAACCCTGCTTTTCTTACAGGGTGAAAGCCTGCCCTGCTTGATAGACATCCTTCAAATGGGAGTTTTCTTTGGGTATAATTAGATATGTGTCTAAAAAAATCCACCATCATCTTGAATTTCACACATAAAAGTGAACACTGATTCTAGGCTGGGATGATGATATTTAATAAAGATCAGGCAACTTAACATTTATCCCATCATTTAACATGTGTAGAACAATCCTATTAAGAATTGAAGTATTAATTTTTTTAATATTATAATGAAAGTCAACTCCAACAAGGTCAAAGTTGGGTATAAAGTGTGATTCAAATTAGGGTCAAAAATCTGAAGGCTTAATATTTTTCCTTGAATGTAGCTGCCCCAGGCTTTTCATGATTACTGACATATTTTACCATAGTTCCTTAAGCTTTGTGCAATAATTATTATTAAAAATGAAAGATCAAAGCAACGAAGTGACTAGGCCAGCAGCCATCCAGCCTAGAGGGTTTGACAAAAATTGAGCCTCATTAAGTCAAGCAAATTTTAGCCAGTGTGAAGGTCAGTCCTGGTAATTAGTCAATGCAATAATCCACCCAAAGTCACTTTAATAACTCAGGGTGTATTACATGCACAGGATCCCATGATACTAAAGACACTGGTCCAGTATGGGATGGCACAAGTGAACAGGGCATATCCATGAACCTAAAGGATAAACATTAAAAATAATCAACACATTTTCCATATTTGTATTCTTTTAAGAGAAATACAAGATTCTTCGGTCATCATCTTGATGATACCACAAAGAAAAATAATTTTAATTGGGACATATGTACATCCTAATGGAAACAAGTACAGAAAGAAGGAGGAGGAGGAGGAGGAGGAGGAGGAAGAAGAAGAAGAAGAAGAAGAAGAAGAAGAAGAAGAAGAAGAAGAAGAAGAAGAAGAAGAAGAAGAAGAAGAAGAAGAAGGGGGGGAGGAGTTCATCAGGCCTTGTTTTTCCCCCTCCTAAAGCATCAATTCCTTGTGAAATTGAGGCTGTGTTGGCTCAGTTAAAGTACAGTACAGCCATCATTTTCTGTACTACCTACATGCAAACTCCTTGATGGAGTTTCACCAGATCCACAGTCTCTGCCCTCCAGGACTGCCAAAGCAGTCAGGATAAAAGTCTCTCTGGTGGAATAAAAAGTACTGAGAGAAACTCTGATAAATGTAGTCATTTATTAAACTATAATAACCCTATTATGACTTTTTTACATAACCCTAAAACATAGTACCTGGCCTCCAAGACACTTATTTGGCCATGTGGCCTAGATTCAATGAGAATCTACACGATGCTGCCATCCTGAGGTTTTAGAGGCTCTCTTTCCATTTGGTTTCCAGGTCTTGTTTTTTGCTCTTCTCGTGAGAAGGAAATGATTAGGCTATTCTCCTTTGATGGTTTATCAAATTAATTAGAATGGAATTGACTAAGAGATAAGTTGCTGTGTGCATTGGTAAGTGATTATCTTGGTTATGTTAACTGATATGCAAAGACCCATCTTAATTGTCACAGGGACCATTGCTTTGGTAGAATGTAGTGGACTATGTAAAATTAAGGCACTTGACTATCATCTGAAGGAGAGGGATGGAAAACTTGTTGAATCATAGATACAAAACTTGGGAATCATAGATCAAGTCAAAGCCACCAAGAACCAAGGTCAGTCACAAGAAAAGGCAAACAAACTTTTGAGGAACAACTGCTGTCTTTTCTGCCTTCTGGGTGCTATTTCAATGCAGTGCAGTCACATTAACAGATTGATCATGCATGTATTTTTATGAAAATAAGTTTCAGTGGTCGTTGAGTGACCTTTGTGGAGGTGAAGAG